TCTGAAACTACAAGAGGTGTATTTTCCTGTGTCCAAAACCTATTCGGGGAGCATCACCCGGCTCAAACCAGGCTCCTGTTTGTTGTGGTGGTTTGTTTGTTGTTTTGTGTGTGTGAATTTTGTGTTGTTTTTGTGTGTGTTTTTGTTGTTGTTGTTTGGTTTTTTGTGTTGTTGTTGGGGTTTTTTTGTGGGGGTATTGGGGATTTATGTTTATAATATAAATATATTTTTCATTAATAAATTCTAAATGAATTTAAAGGGATTACTCAGATGAAATAAAGTTATATTTATCTGGCTTATTTTATAAACTTGTACTTACTCACTTTAGGTTAAATAATTAAAGTGGCAAGTAATATGTCGTTTGCATTTAAACTCAAACAAACAACACAACGAAAGAAGGCAATGCTCTAGAGTGTGGACTTTTGTATTTCTTTTTATTGATGATATGTCAGTTGCTTAAAGTGACATTATGCTAATATTTTCATAGTCAAGCTGAGCTGAATTGACATTATATTTCCAAATATTGACTGTCAAAATGGCGTATGTCCAACAGTTGATATTGAAAAATGTTTAGAATTGAATTTTAAATCTGCCTTAAATTTAAAAAGACTGCCCCACTCTTTTTATAAACTAATCTTTTTAGGCAAATTCTAATGGATCTTTACAGAAATTCCATTTGGATCTGTGTGTTATTTATTGTTTATACGAAGTAAATAATTAAATTGAAAGGATTTATGGCAAAATAAAAACTAATGTTAATCTTCATCCGTTCACTCACTATATACCCATGGATGGGCATAATGTCTCTTTAATGCCGGCTCGCCACGGCGAGCCGGTATTACGTTAGGATTTTACTGAAAAATAACCTAAAACTCCGAGTCCATCCAAAAATTTAATCGAAGCTTGGCTTCCAGCTTTCTACAAAATTTATTTATCAGGGATAGGATCCAAAATTATTCAGCCAATCAAATTTAATCTTACATAGCGTCAAAAAACCTTCAATTTTCACGCCATTTTTAAAAAGCAGCAAGTATTATTTTGAGCGCAAAGATATAATGATGATTAAAATGTTTGTTTTCATGAATTCTTTTCAAAAAATCATATTTACACTGACTTTTGTTTTAGCGATCTCACCTGTTCCTCTGTAGTAAGTTTTCGTTTGGTTAATTAACATAAGTGTCCATCTGGTTTGTGCGTTTTTTTTCCTTTTTCCTTTTTTTCCGGTAATTTTATCCTTTATCGGTATTTAGTGTATATATTTACTGGCCGGGGTCCGGGAGGCCCGGACTGGCCGGGATCCGGGATCGTATAAGATATAGAAGAAAAACTAATAAACTATATTTGTATTGATTATTGTCGTAATGAAAGGACATTAAACGTTAAGTTTTTTTTATTGTATGTAATGAACGTTAAACTAATCAAACTTAGGATATAAATATATTTAGAGGTATTTATTAACAAACTTTAAATGCGGAAATCCCAATACTTATAATTATATGCCTAATTAATTGGAAAAATCAAAGACTACATAAATCCCGGGATCCCTTTATGTTTTAATGCGATCCCAGCTTTTCTGAAAACTATATTCTTGAACTGGCCAATTCCTGGGATCTTTTATATTTTAATACGATCCCGGCTTTTCTGAAAACTATATTCTTGAACTGGTCAATTCCCAGGATTCCTTCTATGTTTTAATAGGATCCCGGCTTATCTAAAAAAACATCTTAGACTGGTCAAAATCCGGGATCCCAATATTTTTTTATTAGGATCCCGGCTTTTCTGACAACTTGTGTTTACTTTAGGACTTGTGTCTGTCACTAATTCCAATACTAAATAACATTTTACAACTTAACTTCGTATAAAGAGACATCTTTATGAATTCTACCTATCTAAGATTTATTTGGTCAAGGTCAACAGGCCATACAGTAAATGTGCATAGACATAGGGACTTCATTCTATCTGTTTACATGCATCTTCATATATACTCATATTCCTCTTTGTTAAACTTAGAGAACTGGCTTCCATAACTTTATTTCACTTTTATTTTGATGTCCGCTGAAGTCTCTTCAGCTAACAGAACTATCATTTTTACATTTAAACGCACCCCTGGAAAAAAATTACGAAGCGAGTCGCTATTAGCTTTTTAAAAGCTAACCTTGTTACCATATCTCTGTTATTTTTTTTATTATCAACTTAGCAGGTTGGCGTATTTGCAAAAAATAATATTACTGTTGCCTCTAATGAATTGCATTAATGAAAGATTGCTATTTTATAACCAGCTAAATTCATGGAAGACATTTACAAAACATGTGATTGATTGATGTAACACATCATATTTACATTCATTCTCGAGTTAAAACTTGTTACCATTAACGTAATGTTTTGCTAATAAAGATTATAGATGGTCAAATAAAAAGAGATAAAGCAAATACGAGGGGAAGTCAGAAAATATCCGCACTTTTGACTCGTTCTCGAAAACCATTCATCATTTAAAAAAATAATCTTTCTACTGTTTTTCAAAATATTCCCCATCTACGTCTACGCACTTTTGCCATCTTCGTGGGAGCTTTTGTATTCCCGCTGTGAACCATGACGTAGACCTATGTTTTAGGTACTGTGTAACAGCAGATATCAAAGCCGCACTGGTCTTATATTTCTTTCCAGCAAGCAATTTTTTCAGTTCTGGAAACAAATAAAAGTCACAGGGGGCGAGGTCTGGACTATAAGGAAGGTTAGACAACAATTGCCATTTGTAAGAGTTGATAACCTCCACTGTAACTTCGGCGGTATGGGAGGGGGCGTTATCGTGAAGAAGGAGGGCATTTTTCTGTGGGACGCATTTGCTGCGGACAGCTGTCTAGGCATCCACCTGGCACTTACCTTGCTCATGTCTAGGTGTTCGTGTAAAATATTGTGTGCCGATGCCTTACCGATGCTAAACTTGTTGGCTACCTACTCCAAAGTTACCGGACGATTTTTGTTGACAAAAGCTTTAACATTTGCTACCATTGTTGGGGTCACCGGCTCAGTTGGCCGCCCAATCCTAGGCCTGACACAATTACTTGTTCTGCCTTCACGAAACTTAGAAACCCAGTTGTAGAAGGTTGAACGTGATACACATTTATCAGAAAATCTTTTTTTAAGCCTCTTAATGATGTGGCAGGGCTTTTCACCTTCTGCAACCAGAAACATTATTACAGAGCGTTGTTCCTCTAACAAAGAGTCCATGATAGACGGAACACCTATCTTATATCAGAGGGCAAAATACTGTGTATACACAAGTATCATTGAAAATAAACTGACCACGTTATTGGCAAATGAATGTAGTTTGCACCAATATATAAATTGTGCATATAGCTGCACGTGGAAAGAGAGGAGCATGAAAAGTCCGGGTATTTTCTGACCGTCCCTCGTACATCATCAGATAGAGATTCAACTAAGCGTTAAGGACAAAGCAGTATGTGCTTTTAACACATTTATACAAATCGTCACTATTTTCTTTAATTTCATAGTGAAAGTGTTTCAATGTAATACATATAAATGTACCTTTATGGTCTAACATTACTTTAAGTTCAAGCATCTACATTAATTTTAGCTTTAATCTTTCTTATTCTTATCTTTTATTACAGAAAGACAACACAGCAGCAAAACTTTACTTATGCTTTAAATCATCTTGTGTTTATTCAAACAATATCCCTCAACAAATGGTTAAAGCCATATTTATCAAGAAAGGAAATCTGTATCTCCTTCTTTAATAGAAATATAAAATCGAATATTTGTAAACTTTACAATACATTATTAATTAACTTTTCAATATTAGGCACGTTTTCACTTCATATTTAAGGCTTATATTAAGTTCACCACGACATTATGAACATAAAACCAGGCCATTATGCAAACAGTACGGCCTTTATGAGAAAACTCGGCTATTATGAGATTGGAGAATTATGATTGGCTCTCCAGCTCGGCCATTATGAATATGCTTTTTTTTTCATTAAAAAGTCGCCATTTTGAATTGCTGCAAGGTAGGTTTCCCAGACATTTTTAAACAAGAATCTCATTTGCAATACCTCACAACAACGGAATTTCACATTAGTTATTTCTTGTTCACTCAGTACTTAACGGTTTTAGGTTATGTGTAGTAAATTAATAAAATTGTCAATAATTAAGTATTTTCATAATGGCCTTGTTATTGGGCTTTAGACTGCTGTCATATCAGCCTTCTGTCTTTGGCCTCAAGGTAATATGACAGTCTTCAGTCCAATAAGAAGACCATTATGAAAGCACTTAATTACTAACATTAAAAGAACAACTGTTTATCAAGGTATTATTAACCCTTATCCTACTGTTAATGTATTTGTCCAAATTGAATTTGAGTTTGAAACGTCCATTTGAAAATCAATGGATGCAAAGTAGAGCTAGCAACCGTATAGAAAGTGCACAGGCTGCACGAGCGTACAGGCTCGCCTTGCTCTATACTTGCATGCACACGGATAAATACAGCTTGAACATATGCAACTTTATGCTTGAGGACGTAGGCTCTGTTCATTTTACCACTACATCTCAAGAAGACACTAGAACCGGTTTTGCAATGACCAATTTTCCATTATTATCTATGATACTTGTATGGAACTGAATTCACAGGTAAGCTTTGTTATTACTTTGGTAAATTGAGATTGAACTATATAATGTACTCAGTATTGGATAGGTAGGTTTTATGCCATGCCATATCATAGTCGATTAACAGTCGTGTTATATGATTTGGGAGCGAATGCTATTGTGCACAATGTTAATCTCTATGGGTAACTCCTCTACTCTACCTGTTCAAATGTGAATCTGGCTACGTGGACTTCAAGTCACGAAGTATGTGTTCTCTCATAGTAGATCTTTGTTTAAATAGAGTTTTTCTTGCACACAAACATAATAGCTTTCAAATCGATGAATACATGAAGACTAAAACAGTCATATACTTTTTTATCCTAGACAATAACAACGTAATATAATGTATCACTTTTATTATCAAATTTCATTTCATTTGTGTTTTTATGTAAGATAAGAGGAAAAACGTAAAGAAAAAAACAGAAAGTTGTAAATTTCAAATGAATTGCTTATTTTATCTTGGTAACCTCTGCTGACGCTTTTTTTTGTTGGTAACACTGGTATTGGTCAATTGCTGTTTTAGTGTATTTGACGAAATCCTTTGGTACTACTATGGGTATCCCTAAAATTATAAATTAACAGTTATAGCTAAATTGGTTTTCATCTTAAACTGAATAAGACATTGAAATAAAGTATTTAATATTTTTTGTGTGTTTTTCAACAAATCTCTGTAACGGCCGAATAATTTAATTCAAGTTAATGTTTATTTTAAAACATGTTTTAAATTATATACTTTAATATCTATGTTAACGATTGTATATAGTTGATATAAGTGGTAAACTTCTGTTAAAGATATACTGTGCTCATCTTTGAGTAAAATATTTTCATTGAAGAAATTTATTGAAATCTATAAACTTCTTATTGAATATGTCTAATTTGAATAAAAGAACGTATAAACTATATATTGGAATTTGCATTCCTTATTTAGGGCAAGTAATGCTGATCCTTCCTTAAAAAATGCCAGTTTTTTTAAAAGTGTGTCCACTTAAAGTGTTTAGTGTGTGATGTATAACATATCTACATTATATGAAGTCAAAACATGTATATCTTATATTTACAAAAAGACTGTGTAGCATTTATCAAAATTTTCTAATATCATATTTGAGCATAGTATATCTTTAAGTAGGTTTATTATTTTAAAAAGAACTAACATCGTATCACTATGGTAATATTCTCTTTGATTGTCTTAAAATTGCATTTTTTTTTTTGAAAAGACGGATTATAGAAAGAGAAACTCACTCTTCCTCCGCCGCCGCAACATCTGTAAGGCCGGTAGGGGTGTCTACAGTACCCACAAATATAAGTGCCATATCGACAGGTCGGATAACACGGGCCACCATATTGAGCTGAACAGATAAAGATTTGTATTACTTCATATAAAAGCTAAGTTTCCGTAAATGCAAATAAAATAACAGTTTCATTACAGTATCTAAATAGTTTGTTTGTTTGATTGGGTTTTACGTCACACCGACATAGTCGGGGTTATATGGCGACGTTCCAGCTTTACTGGTGGAAAAAGACCTCAGGTGCCCTTCCGTGCATTATTTCAAGCATGAACGGGCACCTGAGTTGAACCACCGATATTTTATGAAGTTTCTATACTGTGCATTTCAATGAATTACATTTTTTTATTATGTAATAATTCTTCAGTAATGAAAAGTGTATGTTCTTCTTCCTTTCTTATTGTAGAACCAAAATATCATATAAACTATTTAGCCCTTTATAACTCAAAGCGGAGATGGGGAAATCTTAGCTAGTGACTTTAAGCATTGCGCACAGGACATCCCAAACAAAACTGATATACATAAACAATTGTTTGAAATGTTATTAAAAATAAGAAGACATTGCATTTACTTTTGGATATAGATATACTGTTTTGGTTTTAAATAAATTATTTAACATACCTTCGGCAAATTCAGGCAGAATTGAAATCGCCAAAAATCCAACTAGAAATAACAGCATCAATAGCTTAGCCATTCCGTAGATGAACTTGTAACAACGTAGAATTAGAAAATTCTGGGATGCTATGTGTGAATATCATAAGTCCCTTCAGACTTATATATATATTTATATACTGTACCTATGTCATTATGTGCGTGTATATCCTTCACCTTTGAAATATTTTTATCAGATTTCTGATTGATGATTTATCATACCGCAGAATTTTAAAGGAATTGGTAATTATTAATGATTGAAGATACGTAATTTAATGAATAAATAATCACATTAAAACTTCAATTTAAGGTAATTAAGCTTATGTTTTGTAAATATAGATTTTATATATTCCTGGTCACATGGTTGTCATTGTTTGAACTCCTATTAAAGTTGTAACTGTAAAAGGTGGTTTGCACCCCGGGACAAGAAGGGAAATACCAATATTTTTCCTGAGTAGTTCTTTTACCCTAGCGGAAACTTTCAGTCATATGAAGAAACCCTGACACAGTCGATAAGGCATTTTCGGTATTCACAACCAATCATTGCAATTGTTCATTACAAGCATTATAAGCTTTTTTATGAAAGGACTGGTTTCGAACAGGCACAACACTTCTTGTCTGCTGGTGTTATGAGGGATGTTCGAAATGTATTGCTTATTTCTATCTGGAGACTTCAAATTTCAAGTTAGCTCATTTCATGCCCTCGAAGTACTTCCCGTGGCTAGAAATGCAAAGTTTCAGCCGATGTATCCACTTCTTGAAGGCGTCACGGTACGCTGATTTTGGCACAGTAATAAGGTACTGATGAATGGCAGATCCAAGTGCCTGTCGGGACTTGTAATTCTGCCCAACAAGGAAGGATTTCAATTTCGGAAAAAAAAGAAATCACATGGGACAAGGTCTGGAGAACACGGGGGGTTAGGCAAAACAGTTACTTTTTCTTTTTTCAAAAACGCCGAAACTATTGCGGAGGTATGAGCGGGTCATTGTCATGTAGAAGACGGATATGCTTAAAACCAGTGACAGGGCGTCGTTTCATATAATACTTTTTTCAGTTTCTTAAGTACTACGTCTTTGTTGTACTTCCCAGTGATATTTTTGCCCTCTTTCACCGGCACTTTTATTGCCACTCCTTCATCAGAGAAGAAAATTGCATAAAAAACCTTCTTTGCACTCAAAGACCGTTTGACAATTATCGGGCGTTTGTTGTGTTTAGTGGCCCAGACTTTGTTGCTTACTTTTCTGACGGGCTAAAAATAATGGACCCAAGTTTCATCACCTGTGACGACATTGGCAAACTGTTTTTGTCATATTTTTGAAGCATTTGAAGCAGCTTTTTGGCCACCTTAACCCGTTGCCACTTTTGCTCATCTGTCAACAGATGTGGCATCCATCTAGCATAAATTGTTCTGATTTTCAAATGCTTCTTCAAAATAAAGTGTACCGTCGATAGTGATATTCCTATCTTTCGTGCAATATCACGAACTGTAAATCTGGCATCTCTTTCAAAGATATCCTTTATTTTGGAAACGATTTCGTTACGAGATGCAGATTTTGGCCTACCTGATTTTGGTGCATTTTTATGCACTCTACACCTTTTCCATTGCCTAACTGTGTCATAAGATACACAAGAAGGCCCATAGGCAGTAGGGAGTTCAGTCATCAACTGCTTCAAAGAGCAACCCAGTTTTGAGCGAGCTTTGATGTAAGCCCGTATTTCATCTTTTTGTCGACGCTTCTTCCAACCATTTTTACTACAGTGGTCAATGACTGTGTGTTTTTAAATGGCAAATTGTATGTCTTACACTAAGTCTTACATGTACATTTATACACCGTTGTGTAGGTATTGAATTACCCTAAACAGGTATATATTGGTTTTTATCGTGTCCCACGTGGATCACGAGATAGAGGACAATATGCAATTCTTTTCGAATAACCCCCGTAAAATAGATGTGAGAAAATTATGAGTGGACCCATTACGATCTCAGTAGCTACTGTATGAACATTGTAATGATGTAAATATTTTACTTGATGAATTTGAGAAGGTTGTCAGTTTTTGTAGTGAATCTCTGTTGTATAGTAAACATAACAAAAACCAAAGACTACAAAATAGGGCATGGTTTGGTGCTGAATGTAAAACCGCCAGTAAAATTTCTAGGTCTTCACTGCGAAAATTTAGATTATGTCAAATTTTGAATAATTTAAACATTTATATTGACAATAAGCATTCATATAAAAATATATGTAGAAAAAAAGATATGCAATTAAAAGAAATTGATATCGATAATAACGTTAATAACTCCAAAGAATTTTGGAAGAAAATAAATAATATATCAAAACCAGGTAAAAGAGATTCACCTATAAGTATAGATACATGGTTTACTCATTTTAAACAGTTGTTTTCTGTTGCTGATATTGATGGAGGTATCGGTGGACATTTACCGGCTACAGTAAGTGAAGATGTAAATTCAGATGAAATAGATAATTTAGATGAGATTGAGAAGTTTCTGTTTAATAGCCAAATATCTGAGGATGAAGTAAATGAAGCTGTTAAAAAATTAAAGTCTAACAAGGCAACTGGAGGCACACTTATACCTTCGCATATCATTTATGGTTTAGATACTCTACTTCCTTATATTGTGCAAATTATTTAATAAGATATTTATTTCTGGGATATTCCCTGAAAAATGGTGTCATTGTGTAATTATACCTGTTCATAAAAAAGGTAATTTGCTAAACCCTAATAATTATCGAGGAATATCCTTAATTGATGTCATAAGCAAAGTATATATTAATATTATTACCAACAGAATTACTTTTTACATTGAGGCATATGGAAAGCTTTCAGAATATCAGGCAGGTTTTAGGAAAAACTATTGTACAACTGACAATGCTTTTATACTATACTATATTGTATCTAAATATCTCCAACAGAAACGAAAGCCAGTTTATGTAGCTTTCATCGATTTTCAGAAAGCTTTTGATTCTATAGATCGGACGATTCTATATGATATATTACGTAAAAACAAAATAACTGGTTGTTTGTATAACACAATTAAATCTATTTATGTATCGGTTAAAAGCTTTGTTAAATCTAAATCTGAAGTTTCTGATATTTTTGATTGCCCTACAGGATTACGTCAAGGCTGTAGTCTAAGTCCGATATTATTTGCATTATATATTAATGAATTACATGATTTGTTTTTAAGTAATAATATAAGGGTTTTTTAATTGTATCCTGATACTCTGGAAATATTTATGATTATGTTTGCATATGATATAGCATCTGTATCAGATACTATCGTTGGTCTTCAACGACAGCTCAATTGTCTCCAAGATTTTTGTAATCAATATAAACTTGTTGTTAATATAGACAAAACAAACATTATGATTTTTAAAAATGGGGGACAATTGTCAAAACATGAGCATTGGCACTATTCTGGTAAAAATATTGAAGTTGTTAAAGGATTTGATTATGTAGGTGTTCATTTTACCAGCAAATTATCTATGTACAAAATGGCAGAGCATATGTCTATTAAGGCAAAAAGAGTGTTTCTGTATATTCTTAGTTCTGTTCAGGAATATGGTTGCATACCTTATAATACTTTCTTTAAAATATTTGATGTTAAGATAAAACCCATTATGCTGTATGGTTCGGAATTGTGGGGTCTTCATAATATTTCCTGTATTGAATCACTCCATATATTTTGTTGTAAAAGATTTTTACAAGTAAACTCTAATGCTTGCAATGATGCAGTTATGGGTGACTTGGGACGATAACCAATGTATATCTACTCACCAAAAAATTGTATTAAATATTGGCTACGACTGTTAAAAATGCCAAACGATAGATATCCTAAATTATGTTATAATATGCTATTATATTATGATACAAAAGGTAGGAAAAATTGGGTTTCAGATATCAGAGAAAATTTATTTAGTAATGGTTTTGGCTATATTTGGGAAAACCAAAATGAAACTATTAATGATGATTTTTTGAATCTGTATGTCAATAGACTAAAAGATCAATATCTACAAAATTGGAGTGCCAAATGTATGCTTAACAAGAAATTGACATATTATTCATCATATAAAACAAAATTTACAGTTGAATATTATGTACATGTCCTGGATATTGTTAAATTTCGGAAATATTTTGCTTCTTTTAGATGCTCTGTTCACAATCTTCTTATTGAAACAGGTAGACACTATGGCTTAAGTAGAGAAGAACGTGTATGTCCTAATTGTGAAACTTCAATAGAGGACGAGTTCCATTTTATGTTAATCTGTCCTCTATATAATGATATACGCTGCCAATATATTTCGGAAAATTACAGAATGCTACCAACACTTGATAAACTTTATTCATTAATGTTTAACAAAAATCAAATTAGAAACACTGCAATGTATTTGTTATATGCATTAGATAAAAGACAAAGTTACTTAGATATTTTTCAATGAATATTGAAATACTGTTAGTTTTGTATGTAATCATGTCTGTATCACTCACTGTCTATGTATGTATATTATATATATGTTGTTAATGTTTATGTAAATTATCAAGCATGATTTAAGATAAGACATGTAAGAAGATAAATATGTGATTTATATAAAAAATAAACAGAAACTCCTTGAAAAAGAGGGGTTGAACCCCTCGAAACGTTGGAGATAGAAAAGTTTGTGTAGTAGATAATACTAAAGTAATATCGTTTAGAAGCAAATGAGATTTTAGGCTGTTAAATCTGTTTTGATATTTTCACATATTTATCAATACTCTATAAGGCGCTACAGGATAAATACACTTTTGTTGTAAAAGATGTTATGTTGTTTTGTTTGTGTTTTTTTTCTTGTTGTTGTTGTTTTGTTGTTGTTTGGGGGGGGGGGTAAATGTATATTTAGCTGTTACAACTTATTATCAGTATCGAAATTATTTTACATACAAAACAAAAACATACAAAACAAAGATTTATGAATGTGCATACTAAGAAGTGTGTGTCTTGATTTGTTTTTCTTTTGGCAAAATACATATGTTTACCGTTCAGTACTTCCAAACTATAGCGTTCTAAATTGATAAGTGTTTGAAAGTTTGAAAAAAAATCCAAATAAGATTGCCATATTCTAAATGAATTGA